CTCATTTTCATGGTAGCACAGGTGACACAGCTCTTTATGTAATCTTCTACATCTGCTTTCATCTCTGGCCACCAGAATTGCCTCCTAGTGAGGTGAAGGGTTTTCAGAAATCGAAAATGTCCAGCTGGCTTTGAGTCATGGCTGCACTGTAACATCTCCCATCTCAAGTTCGCAGGGATATACAGTTTGGATACTTTCCATACTAGTCCATCCCTCATGGTCAAGACATCTTTATTGTCAGTGAGCCAGGGGTTGGCTGGTACAGTGTTTTTTAATGCAGTTGTCAGTTTGTCCTGGCTAAAGTCAGGTGGCCATTTGATTTGGCTTCTGGTAGTTACTTGTTCTGCTGATTGTGTAGGAGAAATGATGGCATGGATTACTTCTTCCCGGTGGCTGTCAAACTGCAGTTTTCTTGACAAGGCATCTGCTAACAGGTTTTTTTCCTGCTGGGATGTACTTCAGTTTGAATTTGAATCTCCTGAAGTATTGCGCCCAGCGGACTTTTTTGGGAGACAGTTTTAGAGCTTTGAGATTCTTGTGATCCATCCATACCTCAAAAGGCACTTCCCCCCTCTAGGAAATGTCTCTGAGAGGAGGGCCCACTGAACTGTGTAGGCTTCTTTCTCCCAAATTGCCCATCTCCTCTTGGTATTGGTGAATTTTTTGGACACGTAGGCACAAGCCAGAAGTTGTCCTTTTGGGTCTTTTTGCAGAAGCACATCACTGGCATCTCCTTGGATGATGAACTCTTGTTTTGGATCTGGTTGCTAAAGGATCGGCTCCTGGGAAAATACCCTACTTAAGTTTTTGAAGGCTTTTTGACAGTCCATTGTCCAAGCAAGTTGCTCGTTTGGCTTTTGTGTCATTGGAGGAGACCTGTCTTCAACAGTTCTGTTAGGGGCAGGGCAACCTCCAAAAATGCTGAAATAAATTGCCTGTAAACATTGGTAAAGCCCAGAAAGCTTTGCAGTTGTTTGTGAGTGCATGGGGTTGCCAGTCAAGCAAAGCTTTTACTTTTCATAGGCCCATTTCTGCTGAATATCCAGTAGCCTAGGTGATCTAGTGAAGTTTTGTGAAATTCACACTGACAGCTTTGTGTAAAGCTTGGCAGTGAGGAGTTTTTTTCAGTACATGCTGTACTAGTTTTACGTGCTCATCTACAATTTCACTGAATATAAGAATGTCATCTAGGTAAATGAGGAACCCTTTGTATAGGTGCTAATGCAGCACTTCATTGATCAGCTGCATGAATACTGTGGGGGGTCCTTGTAGGCCAAATGGCATGACTTTAAATTGGAAGCTACAGAGTGGGCAGTTGAAGGCAGTTTTTCATTCATCTCCCTCCCTAATTCTTATGTGGTAGTAGGCTTCTTTTAAGTCTAATTTGGTGAACACCTTGCCCTTGGATAAGTGGTTTAGCATGTCCTTCATGAGGGGTAGGGGGTAGGTGTTCCTAATGCATATAGCATTAATTCCATGAAAATCAATGCAAAGCCTTGTCCTCCCATCTTTCTTCTCTTTGAAGAGTACCGGAGCTGCTACTTTGGACTGGATAAAGCCCCCATTAGGTTGGCATTGATGTATTTTCTCAATTCCTCCATTTCTTTAGGAGTCATGGAGTACATTTTAGGTTTGGGTAGTTTAGCCCCTGGTTAAACTCGATAATGCAGTCGGTTGCACGGTGAGGGGGGAGGAAATTGCAGTCTTCTTCACTAAACCCCCCCCCCCCCAATAAGTCTTGGTATTCTTTTGGCACTTGTTGGCTACTGGGTAGTCCGTCAGTAGCAGGGTCTGTGGCTTTGGGTCCACTGGCACCACTAGGGGTTGTGGCTTCTTGGTAATGGTCTGGTTTTATAGGTGGCAGCAACCCAATGCCAATGTTTATTTTTCTATCCCTATCCTCCCAGGTGACTGCTGGTCCCCCTTGTCCAGCCATGTGAGCCCTAATATAATTGTTTCAGTCATTTTTGGGGCTATGACAAACTGGATGAGTTGTTTGTGACCGCCCATCTCCATCCTGACGAGCTTGGTGAATAAGTCTAATTGGCCCTGCTGATTAGAGTCCCATCAACCTGTTCAAAGTAGATGGGGCACGCTAAGAGTTTTGTGCGTATGCCTTGTGCATATGTTCAACTATGGGGAGGCTGATTAGGCATCGAGTACAGCCCATGTCTATGATGGCCTCTATTTCCAGTTAGACCCCCATTACTGTTACTACTATCTTAGTTTTGATAGTAAAGAGGTGGATGGCTGCACTTACCATTGGGTCATCTTCATCACTGCTTTCCTCATGGGGATTGCAGAGGTTTCACTGGCTGGAGTTCCCTCAACTTCTTGAGAAAGGAGAGGAACATCTACAGCCTGCTTGGCAAGTTGTCCTTTATTGGGCTGCTTCTGTGTGGTTCTTCTCATCCCAGCTGTGTGTGAGACCTGGAAGCCATCTTTTACCTTTTGGATTTCAGATCTACCACATTTTCTACTGTGGGAAAATGGGAGGGGGGATTATATAGAGTATGAGTGATATGTAGCCATAACAACATTCTTTCTCAGAAAGTCAAGGTTGCTTTGTCCCTGCACCTGGATGGATGTGGATGGGAGGAATCTTCCTTTGTGGCAATGAATGATTGGACCATGTGATAGACTTGTGCGTCTTTGGGCAGGGTCTTGCACTTTCAACTGGGTGGAAAAACCTGGAAGCTTTCAGATTCAGGTTTTCCAAGATGTGCCAGTATGACATCGCTAATAAAATGGAACTTTGAGGAAACTCAAGTCTTGGAGTTTTCTTTTGTTGGGAGTGTTTCTTGGAACCCTGACTGAAGGCTGGGCTTGGGGAACTGGGGATGGGGCCAAGCATTCAGAAGCCCAGTGTCTGTGCTGGCCACACTGGCAGCATTTGACAGTCCTGGATGGTGTGGGAGGCTGCGCTTTGGCTTTTTTCACTTGGGCTCAGCACCCCAGTGGCCTTCTCACTGGGTTGTCCGCAATTGGCTTCCTGTTGGGGTGGAGTTCTAGGTCCAAGGCGACAGCTGTGTTGTACCAAGCCTGTATACATTCAGTACTCCCCCGAGTCCTCCTCCAGTACTCCCCCTACCAATGCTTTGGCCATGGGCTGCTGCGCAGGTACCACCCCACCCCCACTGCCTACTGTAAAGTAAGATATCCCCCGAAACACAGTAGTTTTCGCCTGAGTGATGTGATTGAAGACGCCGGGTCTCTGTTTCATTTCCATCACTCGTCTCTTGGGCTTTTGAGAAGATTTTTCACCCCCTGGAAGGAAGTTGAATGAAAACCAGACGTGTTCCGGAAAACACAGATTTCTTATAACCCGTTTGCCGAACTCAACAAAAAATTAGGTATCAGTTCTGCCAAACTGGAGTGAACCAGCTGTATCCCACCACTGGATAAGAACATAAAATATGATCTCTCTATATATCCCTCTAATATACAACAACTCTCAAGTCTTCCTACTTTTACAAAAGCAGCGAAAGCTTGGTAGTTCCCTCAGCCATTAAAAGCCAGTTGAGTGGTGTTTTCCCTCCCCGCTTTAATGGCAGTTTATTGTGCACTTTGCCACCAATTTAGATTTTGTATTTATATACTGTCAGCTGATTGTTATATTAGTTTGTTTCTTCTTGATTTATTGTGTTTATCTTGTACCCTGTACCCTCAGATTTACACTGACTGAGTTGGGCAGATTTATACATCTTAAAATTAAAGAAACATTTAAATAGTCTTTTTTTAAAAAATTCAATCAGTCAGAGAAGCTACTAATTCTTGTTGCAAAAAAATTCAAATTGACGTAGATCTGTGGTATAAAAGCTTCTATCTAAGATACGTTCTTAGGTTTATTATACAGATTTGAATAGATATTAAGACATTGAAAGTTTAAGTCATGAAAGTATATATTATATAAATAATCTATATTTTTAAGAGAGATAATAGTCTTTTAAACATTTTCTTCTTTAAATGATTTACCATGATTCAAACACCATCTTTCAAAAATGTTTGGGATAAACACAAGGAGAGAAAATTCAGATCCTTGCATTATTTAACTCAAATTTAGTTTCTTGTATTGCTCTCTGTAAATTATATAAATTAATATAAATGGTAGGCCTCTAGCTGTTACAAGCTGACATGTAATTTAAAGTAGTTAATTCCTGAAGGAAGGAACCATCTTTGAAACAAACTGCACCAGGCTAAGATAATACTCTCTAAATTTGTAGACATTACCAGTCATCCAGGTCATCGCTGCCCCAAAGGTGTTTATTCTGGAAGGTAACTGGGCTTCTTGTTTTTTCTTTGAAGACATTTCACTTCTCATCCAAGAATATTAAATATTATTAAATATTATTAAATAAATATATAAATATAATATTATTAAATACTATATTATATAATATAAATCCTTCCATTCCCCACTACCCTGTCAGAACTGAAGAAGCTTCTTGAATGAGAAGGGAAATGTCTTCAAAGAAAAAACAAGAAGTCCGGTTGCCTCCAGAATAAACTTCCCTTTTGGGATAATCCTTGGAACTTTGCATATTCTGACAACAGTGAGGAATATTAGGGTACTAAATAAACATACAGCTAAATTGTTAGTGAAAGCTTTATAGAAAGAATAAATTAGATTTATTCATAGATTATTCAATTATTAATTAGATTATTAGTAATAATAAATAGAAAATGCTGTTAATACATTGTAATAATTTAAAGTGGTGAGATATAAAGAAGGAGGTACAATCATAAAGAAAGAAGATATAGATTTTCCTGAAAGCAATTACAGTGTATTTGTGTGTATTATTGTGACAGTACAAATAATAAATTCGAGTTCTATATTTGTACTCTACCCTTCTACCAAGAACACAAATAATTTGTACAATGTTTATCTATGTATATCTCTGTTTAGGAAGATTTATACCATCTGTTTTTATTTGATTTATTTGATTTCTTTAGCTAACCATCTCAGCAAGCAAATGTTCTTATTCCTGTTTTCAATATAGGCAATGATAATTGCTTTTACATCGGATATGATTCCACGCCTGGTTTACTTCTGGTCATTTTCAGTCCCACCCTATGGAGATCACAGTAGCTTTACCATGAAGGGATATATAAACAATACTCTTTCTATTTTTGCTGTATCAGATTTCCGAAATGAAAGCAAGCCACATGCTCTTCCCGTATTTGCCAATTTAACAATATGCAGGCAAGTCTATATCCTGATTAAAGTAACTAGATAGGAACAAAATCAGTATGCCTTTGATGTTAGGCTGTGTAAAATAATGGAAAATAAAATTGCTAAAAGGAAAATCAAGGTCTTTTAGTTCTGCGCAACTATTTTTATTATCTTACATAATAATATAAAAGTAGCATGATGTAATTCTGCAACTCTGATATGGTTGTTTATTTGGTTGTAATTTATTCTGATTACATTACATATAGCGTGTTAGGTTAAAACCAGAGAAATAGGTATCTTTTGCTCCCCCTTCTGGTCTTTGTACATTATTGCAGAGACATTTGAAATAATTGTTTGAATGACTTTCTTTAACTATGTTAGATATCGAGATTTCCGAAATCCTCCTGGACATAAACATCAATATGAACATAATATTTATTACTGGCATGTTATTGCAGCCAAGTTAGCATTCATCCTTGTAATGGAGGTCAGTATATTTATTTGTAAATCTTAATCCCCTCCCCCCCAATGTTTGGTATTAAAAGCCCTGTCAGTATCTGTTTTATATTTCTTATAACTATCCAGCTTCACTTTCTCTATCCTTGTATCACAGCCTATTCATTCTGCCAGCCATCATAGATTACCATATACAATCTGAAAATTATTAATAGGAGCATGTTATTTAAGGGAACACTACACAATCTTGCTATTAGGGTGTCTCCAAATAATTTGTTACCCATGCTTACTGATATACAGATTCTATTTTGTGTAATTATAAAAGCTGACAAATATGTCAACTCTCAAATATCAATTCATAACAGACATGAATGTATGTATGGATATATTCACTTGTACTTTGACAGGTGCTAAATTCTATACTTTAAGCATTATCTCTGATATTATTAACTCTTCATCCTGTTTTACTATCATTTTTTAACCAGATCACTCCATCCATACTTTTCTGATTCTCACTACCCTGTTTCCCCAAAAATAAGCCCCCCCCGGGTAATAAGCCCAATTGGGCTTTTGAGCACATGTGCTAAAATAAGCCCTCCCCTGAAAATAAGCCCTCCCCAAAAATATTTCAACACAGCAGCAGCCATGAGGTGACCACTCTCACTGCCTCCTGCACCTCAAAAATAATAAGACCTTCCCGAAAATAAAGCCAAGTGCTTATTTTGGGGGTCAAAAGAAAATAAGATCCTGTTTTATTTTTGGGGAAACACAGTATCAATTTTATGTTCTTTCTTTAGTTAAAAATGAATACTAAAAATTTAAAGATTGTTTTTATTTAAATGAAAAGACTTTAAATCAATTTAATTTTACTTTCACTGTTCTTAAAGATATATGATATATGCACTTTGTGGGGAAAAATGTTCAATGAGGATAAAATTTGTATTTTTAAAAAAATCTTTCCTATGTTGTATTATCCTAACAAAAATGGCAATGGTTCTTCCATATAATTCTTTAGGATGAAGGATAAAATTAATTTCCAAATAATGCATATATGGATGCTGCCTTTTCATTATTTTTGTAATGACTGAGATAGGAAAAAACAAATCTAATTTTAATGTTAAGGAGATGGTATTAGAATGCAATGCTACCACACCCTATATATACAATAATGGCCACAATGCCAGTAGTTTAGTAGTAATCAAGTGCTGAATTAATGGAACAGAAATTGCCAACTAATTAATCTTTTTTTAACCATCCTGCAACACTGCATAAAAAAATATTTTACTTTTCAGTTGAGCTGAGACAATTGCTCTGTGAGATACATTTTGTTTCTGGAGATCAGATCTCTCCATCACAATGAATGATAAGAAACAGCATTATACACCTTTCACATTAATCAGATAATTACAAACTGGGGTCTATCAATTTTGCTTTTTCCCCACTCCAATAATACTTGTTCATTGTATGAAACTGATTGTCTTTCTATTGACTTTTTTTCAGCATGTTGTCTACTTTGTGAAGCTTATCATTTCATATACCATTCCAGATGTGTCAAGGAAAACTAAGAGCAAAATTAAACGGGAGAAATACCTAACACAAATACTTCTTCATGAAAATCCTCTAAAAATTATTAAAAAAAATATGGGGAACATTGCTGACAAATTATTAAAAGGAGCAGAGACCACTTTACAACCTAAATGTGAATAAATGCTAGTTAGTTACAACATCTAATAATGAATTAAATATTCTAAGAAATCATCATGAGTTGGATTAAATATTCTAAGAAATCAACATGAGTTGGATTAAAAACTTAATAGGTCAACACCGGAAGAGAATACATTTAACAGAACATATACTTTTCATATGTACTCATACATTCTTCCAAGTTGTTTTCTGGTTTGGAAATTTTGTCTTAAAAGTCTTGATATATATTATTAATCCACCCAACCAAACATCATTTTAGTTCATGAACTTATTGGAAAAATCAATTAGTTGTTATTATTTCCATTTTCATATAAAATTTTATTCGGTATTTCAGGATCTGTTGGACAAGAGGAAAAGAGTAGTTGAATTTCAAGTCAATTTTCTACTATAGTGGGATGTATGCTGTAATATGAAATCATGCAAAAATCTCTGGGAGCAGTATGAAATAGAGCACAATAGATAAAGATGCATTAATATAAACTGGCAGGTGACTTACGTAAACTAGAAAGAGACATATCTTCCAAATGTTTACAATAGAACCTTGTAAAAATAAGTTGTAGCGAGTTTGACTCAATTACTATTCTAGAGTGTAGAAAACTTTATATAAGTGCTGTGAATTTATATTCAACCTAGTATTTTATTATGTTTACCATATTTCTGCATTAGAGGTAAGGCAGTGTGAAAGAAAACACCTGCTGATCTAAATTAGTGGTATGTGCACTTTCTAATATATAAAAGCACTCTCTGATATATAACAACTTCATAAGAGTATGGATATGTACAATTTGGTATAAAATTTATTTTACGGTGTTGATTTTTTATTTTCATGTTTATGACTTCCTTTTGTGATCGCTGTATATGAATTGGTTATATGGAATTGTAAGAACACAAATAAGTGTATGTGCAGTAAATTTTTGAAAAGATCAAAAATAGACAACATTATGACATGGTATGAGCAAATACTCAGATTCCTATGATCAACAAGTCAGAATATCCTTGACGTTTTAGATGTTTGATTCTTATAGAACATAGAAGATAGGAAGACCAACCATCTGGAATTGTGCCAAATTGTCCAGATTTTAAAATGTGCCCTCCATCCATATTTACTCTCTGGCAGATTTTCCTTTTGTCAACCATTTTGTCTGCTGTCAGCTTAAAGCAGAAAAAAATGTGAATTAAAATATAAAACTGAGATGTGGCAGAAGGGAGAGATAAAAGCCTGCTTGTGAGACATGTACAAAAACAGGAAATAGTCAAAAGCCCTAAACCACAGTCCAGCAAAAGTTCTTATGTCAAAAGCCCAAAACCACAGAGTTCAGCTAAAGTTCGTACAGAGACATGTAGTCAGTACCTGTGGCCCAAGACAAAAGATGAAATAAGACAATATCTACTTAGAAGACATCTTTTCTCAAGGTAACCAATAAGAAATGAGTTAAGTGTTTCCGTGTTGCGCTGCTTTTGAGAATGTATAAGAATGCGTGCTTCCATGAGAAGGGTTGTTCAGAAGTTGCATTCTAGCCTTTGACTACTTTTCTGAACCTGTCTGCCAATAAACGTCTCCTTGATCTTGAGACATCTAAGTCCTGTCATTTTCTGCAACAAGCTAGCTTGCTGCTTGCTGCCATAGAAAAGGGGAGAGGGATCAATAGAGAATTTTTCATTCCAGTTTTGTAACTACAGCCTGAACTTTGCTTATCTCTCTAAGGTCAGTTCTTCTAGTTTTGGAAGCCCTCTGGTTGCCTAGCTACAAGAGTGTTGGGCTGTACAGTTTGTTTCAAGTTGCTGTTTTTGCACACCTTGCCTGTTTTCATGAGTTTCCCCACAGCTGGAATTTCTTGCTTTCAGTTCATTCCTAATAAAAGTACTTTTCTCTAATTCTATGGAGCTGAGGATTTTTCTTTCCTAGGAAATGGACAGAGGCAGCCCTGACATTAGGCAAGCTCTGCTTTAATGCTCAACCCGGAGACAGCAGTCTACCATTGGGACCAAGCATCCAATGTCCAACCATGGGATTGAGCTGGAGGAAACTGGATATACAGCCGACTTCCCCACTAGACCACACCATGCTTGAGATGAGGCAGAATGACAAGAGGAGCTGGACTTCAATGAGAAGCCCAACAGGCGATGGGGAGTCGAAGAGCCCAAGAACCTCTTGCACAGACAACTACCCAAAATTCATGTTTCAACCCAGACCAATCTGCGCAAGCTACTCCACCTGTACGAACTGCTCCTCAAAGGCTCCGGGCCCCAAAGATCTCAGCCTTGAGGGTTAAGTACGGGGGAGACCCTGAACAATTGGGGTTCTTCCTGGTGCAAGTCTGGAACTACATGCAGGAGTATGGAATCAAACTGGAGATGGGAGAAGCCCAAAAAAGATGGGTAATAAACATGACTCTGGAGGGTGCAGTGGCTGAGTGCAAGTGGAGAGTCCGGGTCTCAGGAATCCCAGTTGTTGTTGGTTAGTTTTGGAGAATTGGTCAACATTCCGAGCAGTGCCCTAATAAAAGCAGGAGCCCCAAGCCATTTAGCAAGAAAAATCCAGTTGTTTATTAGGAGTGCCATGTTGGCACAAACTAAGTGAAGCCAACTCTGACTTCACCCACTTTACATCTTGCCTCTGACCCTGCCCCAGCAGTTGGGAAGTTTCAGTTGCACTGTGACTGGGTTGATAATCTCTACTATAGGGAATGGACTTATGAATTTACGTCCCAGATTCTTGCTGGGTGTCAGGTGCGACTTCATTTAATAACCAGGAAAGAAACCACTCAACCCCATTTGTTTGAAATTAAGTGTACTTTTACTAATTANGCTGTGCATGTAAAAACCGCATATAACCCGCGGGTTATATGGGTGAAAATACGGTACTTGTTGAGTACAGTTTGTCAGCTAGTTGCGAATCCATCTAGTGGTGATGTAATGTCTCCACTTTTTTCTAACTTACTAAGAAGTAGATTGTGGTCGAATTTGCACATTTCTAGAGGCAGATCCTATTAATTGTCTTATTTCCAAAATAAATATTTATATTTCATTAGTAAATGAAATTATCATGTTAATTGTTACTAACAGTGTAATCCTTTTGGTTTGAGATAACTCATTTCCCAACACTGGAAGTCTTTAAGAAGATGTTGGATAGCCATTTGTCTAAAACGGTATAGGGTTTCCTGCCTAGGCAGGGGGTTGGACTAGAAGACACCCTTCCAACTCTGCTATTGTATTATTGTATTATATTTTACTGAATATAAAATAATGAAGCCCAAATAGAGATCTGCAGAAATTTCACACAAATAATGTTTTGATATTCATTTGTTCAATTTTGTCTGTCTCAAAAAATGATTCTGAGTGGTGAACGGTATTAAAAGAAATTTAAAATAATCTCAATCACAAATAAAAAAAAATATAGCAGCCAAGGAAACTATCACAATCAACCATCACCAACACATCCAGAAGATTTAGGCACTCAAGGGCCAAAAAGTGGATACAGAGGTGGTTTTTTCTTTACCATGGCAATAATAAATTCTAGAGCTGGCCTTTTAAAAATACCCGTAAAAATGAATGGTGGTTGAAAATATCCAGAGCCAATGATATTTTTTGTACTAAAGATCAGACATGGAAGGATGGGGAGGGGTAGAATCCCTATTTTTTCTAATACAACAGTGAAGGTTTTCAATATAATGTTTGTGTAAAATATGTTTATTTTGTGGTTTCAACTGTTATTGATGAATCATAGCCAATTAAGAAACCAATTAGTGCCAAAGAACTGAAACTGTACAATGTATCTCTGTGCCCTAAGATAACAAGTGAAAGCTTGGCTATCAAGATGGACCTTAAAGGCCATTGAAAATTGTTCAGAAAAAGTCAATTCTAAGTTCCTGCTAACTGAATTGCTTTATGTAATATGGTCCAAAGCAGCCGAGGTGGCGCAGTGGTTAGGGTGCAGTACTGCAGGCCACTTCAGCTGACTGTTATCTGCAGTTCAGCGGTTCAAATCTCACCGGCTCAAGGTTGACTCAGCCTTCCATCCTTCCGAGGTGGGTGAAATGAGGACCCAGACTGTGGGGGCGATATGCTGATTCTGTAAACCGCTTAGAGAGGGCTGAAAGCCCTATGAAGCGGTATATAAGTCTAACTGCTATTGCTATAGACTGCTATAGTCTTTCTGTTAGAGATGGTCCTGCCGTTGCACCCAAGTCTTCCTCTTGGTCGCTTTCATGCAAGGACATTTTCTTTTCTTTGTATGAAGGCACTCCCCTTGGTATTTGTTCGCTCCGGGTTGGGTGCGAAGTGAGATTCAGCTTATTGTCAGATGCGACTTCATTTAATAACCAGGAAAGAAACCACTCAACTCCATTTGTTTGAAATTAAGTGTACTTTTACTAATTACAAATGAACAGTTGCGAAGCTAAGCTGAATCTGGTTAATTAGGCACGAAAGCAAAGAATATCATGTATAATTCAATCCCCTCCCCTTGGCACCCCAGTCCATTATAATTCACCCAACAGTCAGGTGGGAGATATCTTCAAAAAACATCACCAGGCTGGACAGTTAACCTTGGCGGGAAACTCCCTTCCGCCACATGCGCAGTAAGATGGTCAGATCAGCATCTAGAATCTTCCTCCAGCACATAATGATTCCCTTCCCAAATACCATGCCCCCCCTCCCCGTTTCAATGGTAGCCGAAACAGCAGCAAAGCAGAGGCTGACAGGTTCTATGGTCAGGAATATGCAACAAATCTAATACCAGGTATATATCAATGTCTTTTCAGAATATAGTGTAGGCCACTAATCATGCTGTAACACAATTTGGATTCTTATCTGTTGGTTAATTTTTAATGAATTGCATATGTATATATGTAAATATAGCCCTTTTGAGATTAGGTTAGTTCTGGTATTTGTTTAAATGCTAAAAGAATATTTTTCTACTCGTTCCCTTTAGATTCATAGAGGCATAATTTCACATTTTACATTCCATTTGTCAGATTTCTTTCAAAACAAAGGTATACATTTTGAGGCAAACTGTTATTTGTTCTTTTTTCTTCTTGATATGATGAAAAAAACAAATAAACACTTTGCAATATGAGTTACAATGAGCTAA